GAGGCATGAGCTCCTCCTTGAGGAGGACGGAGCTGGGTTCTCCAAGGAGACGCTACAAGGAGTGTAGTTGTGCTGAAAACCGCGGGCTGCTGATTTAGGGGCTATGGTGAACCGAGGCACTGAAGAGCACGAAGAGGCAGAGGTGGCCAGCTGGGTAGTGCTAGGAATATCTAAGCCATGAGAATGCAGTCTTTTAAGTGAAGGTGGCCATCCTTTTGACAGCAGATTGAGACGCCCTGGACAGGACAAGTGGGGACCCAGCACTCAGCGAGTATTGGGAACATAGTGGCAGGATTACCGGTTAGTTGCCAGGACCTGGTGGCAGCCAAGTATCTCAACTTCCTGAGCAGTTGTAGGTACCCAGTGATAAAAGAGACCCTTGGTTCCGGTGGGTGAGCACTTTGTCTTGCTTAAGTGGCACCACATATTTCTGACCTGGCTTAGAAATGGCTTTGCGGGGGTGCTGAGAAGTGACTGGGCCAAAGGAACAGTCACAGAGTGAGATTTCAAATACATAAGGGATATTAACCCTGTGTGCTTTGGGCAGAACTCATATAATGTAGGTGTGTGTAGAGAAATAATCCCCAGGTACTATTTGCTCTTGTGCAGTCACAGCCAGCTTCCGAGAAAAAAAAAAAATGTAGGGTGAGGAGGGTCGTCAAGCGCAATGCATTCTACAGGCAGACTTTAGTGTTCTAGTGTGGTGTGGTCAGGGTTTGTATTAGTGCCGGTTCCCTTTTCTGTGGTTAAGAGAAAGTTACTCTTGTGGGAGGCACTATGCACAATTGCCCTGTTGAAGTTATTCATGGCCGGCTCCCATGTCTTGCACTGTTCCATCCCTGGCATCTCAGAGGATAGGTGTCTAAGGCACATCTAAAGATATGACCTAGGCATTGCCTGTTTTCTTTTGTTTATCTTGGGTGTACAAGTCATCTCATTTAAAATAATGTTGAGCATCTTGTCTACCTACCCTATATTGCTCATTATTTGTGGTGGGTAGTTTATTTGGGCATAACAACTGATTCATGGCGACTCTGTGATTTCTTTGTCATTGGAAGGTGTGTGGGAAAGAATATCTTTCCTTCTAGGCTGTGAGTATAGGGCACACACTGAGATGCTTGCTCCCTAAGAAAACCAAGGACTGTTTTCTTTCTTGCTTTAACTTTGTTTTTTTTTTTTTTTGGGGGGGGGATTCATGTAGCCCAGGTTGGCCTCAAACATAGCCATAGAAAATTCTTCTATCTCTGTTTCCCAAGAATTCAGATTACAAGTGTGTGGGTTACAAGAAATATTTTTTTTCAGTGTTGGAGATCAAACACGGGGCCTAGCACATGCTAAGCAAGTACTCTACCCCTAAACTGCAGCCCCAATCTCCAAGAGCTATTTTGGCAACTAACATTTAATGGGTCTGAGTTTTTGTTTGTTGTGTTTTGAGGCAGGGTCTTCTGTGTATCCCTGGCTGGTCTGGAATTCACTATAGACCTGCCTGGCCTTGAATTTACAGAAATCCACCTGCCTCTGCCTTCCTAGCACTGGGATTAAGGCATGCACCTCTGAGTTTTTGTTTTGTTGGTGGTGATGGAGTGCTTTTTAATTTTAATTTTATGTTTGTTTCAAGTTTCCTTTTTCCTTTAAGAAAGGAAAATAAATCTTCAATAGCTATGCAAACTAACAGGAAAAGTATGCTTTCGTTTCAAAACATTATATCAAGACTTGCTTTGTTGTGCAAAGTGCATACATAGATCTTGCTGAATGGCCTGACCCTTGTATCAAAAATCTGAAATAGCATTGTTGCAGCAGTGTATCTATTCACTTCAACATAAAGCCAGCTGATACTTGCAATTCTTTATCCAAGCATTATAATAAGTACGCCTGTATTCATACATTCAAATGACTATTTCTCCCCTTCAAAAGTGTTCCCTTGGCAAGCTGGGTACTAAATCTAGTGATGCTGTCATCTCTGAGAATGGTCCCCGAGCTCCTGCTTTGGAGCTGTCTTCAGATGCTGCCGCACATTTGCTGACTGCCCCAGTGCCTGCAAACCTGCAGTGGGCAGAGACAAAGGCAGAATGAGGCCAACTCGGGCTTCTGGAGAACCTAGGTTATGAAATGACATATGGAAATAGTGACGATTCCCTTGAAGGATTAGCAGTTCCAAGGGGGACTTCCAGAAAACATATGGCGTTTCTATCCGTGCTTACTTAGAAGTTGTGTCAGATTTATGACAGCAACCAAACACCTGAAATAATCAACTTAGAAGCAAGAAGGAGTCCCTGGGAAAGGTTCAGAGCTTTCTGTCTACTTGGCCCAGTTGATTTGGGTTTATGGAAGAGCAGAACAGCAGGGTTGGGAGTACATGTAGAGCAAGCTCTCACTTCATGGTAGTCAGTAATCAGAGACAGAGGAGAAGACCAGGCCTTTTGAGGGCTTTCCCCCACTAACCTTTCCCCTACCATCTCCCAATAATACAGTCCAAACCTTGTAGACAGTAGCCACTGAGAGACATTTTAGGTCCAAATCAGCCAGGTACTAGTGGCACATGCCTTTAATCCCATTACCAGGAAAAATAAGTTAGAAATGTTACTTAATTAGAATACTTTATAATATATTAGGTCATGTGAAAATAAACCTAATTTTACCTTGATATTATTTGCTGGGCAGTTTGCAGATTCTTTTTTTTTTTTTTTTTTTTTTTTTTTTTTTTTTTTTTTTGAGACAACGTTTCTCTGTATTGTTTTGGAACCTGTCCTGGAACTCGATCAGTAGACCAGGCTGGCCTCAAACTCACAGAGATCCACCTGTCTCTGCCTCCCGAGTGTGGTGATTAAAGGCATGTGCCACCACTGCCCGGCTTGCTGCAGATTCTTACAAGCAGCAAAATAAGAGACTAGCTCTCTCTCTCTCTCTCTCTCTCTCTCTCTGTCTCTGTCTCTGTCTCTTCTCCCTCTCTCTTTCTCTCCTACACACACACACACACACACACACACACACACACAGAAAGTCATGATTACATATACTTAAGCCTAGTGCTTGAGTTTTGATTTCTGAAAAGGCATTTAGCATAAGGATTCCAGGGCACACTGTTCAAGAAGCCAGCAGAACCAGAATGTAGCCTTCTTTCTTCTTTGCTTTCCCTAAATCCTTAATTTTCTTTTCAGGTAATGTAGCAAGAAGCTTCACACCACCGTGTCTTGACTCTGGTCTAGATGTGTTGTTGGACATGTTTCTCTTCTCTCCGTTTCTACCATATGGATAATAACTTTGATTTCCAGTGACATGTTTTAAAATGGGAATAATCATAGGTGTGGACCCTGTGGGTTTGGGAGGAAGGCTACATATGGTGTGTGCATAATTAAGTAAGTGCTGAGTGGAGTCTGGCTATTTTATTTTTTCCAACTTTTTTTATTTGAATTAGAAACAGGATTGTTTTACATGACAATCCCAGTTCCCTTCTCCCACCCGTCCTGCCTACGCCCCCCCCCAACTAAAATCTTATCTGTCACATACCTTTTCTGCTCCCCCTGGGTGCTGAGGCCTTCCATAGGGTGTCATCAGAGTCTTTCGTATCCTTTGGGATAGGGCCTAGGCCCACCCCCGTGTATCTTGGCTCAGGGAGTATTCCTCTATATGGAATGGGCTCCCAAAGTCTACACCTATGCTAGGGATAAATACACCTATGCTAGGGATAAGTAAATAAATAGGAGGTCCCATAGATTTCTGAGGTTTCCTCACTGAAACCCATGTTCCTGGGGTCTGGATCAGTCCCATTCTGGTATTCCAGCTATCAGACTGGGGAGAAAGTGTTCCCAGTATTCCAGCTATCAGACTGGGGAGCAAGAGTTCCCGATGTTCAGGTCAGCTGTTTCTGTGGGTTTCACCAGCCTGGTCTGGACCTCTGTGTTCTTCACTGGTCCTTCTCTGCGTCTGGATTCCAGTTTAGTTTGGTGATTAGTTGTGAGTGTCTGCTTCTACTTCCACCAGCTGCTAGATGAAGGCATATAAGTCAGTCATCAATCTCATAATCAGGGGAGGGCATTTAAGGTAGCCTCTCCTCCGTTGCTGAGATAGTTAGCTGGTGTCATCTTTGTAGATCTCCAGACATTTCCTTAGTGCCTGATTTCTCTGTAAACCTAAAATGTTTCCCTCTATTATGATATCTCCATTCTTGTTATCGTGTATTCTTCCCCCGGCTCAA